AAATTTTAATAGTATTTTTTACTTTTAAAATACATTATATATGATTTTTCAAATGACCATTAATTCAAGGGAAACATACATAAATACAATATTTTAAATATACAATTTCATTTCTAACAAACTTACAAAAATATTTCAAAAGTCAGGTTATAATTATTATTTTTGAGAAAATATATACCATTCCTCTCTTCTCTCTCTAGTTGTTTCATTTTCCTACAGAATACCCTCTCTCTACTTTCTCTCCTTAAGGTTTTTTCATTATTCCAGCAAACGGATCTAGAGGTGGTGGAAATTCCTGAGACATCGTCCTCGACTGGCACTCCATCCATCATTTACCTCTCTAAACTCTCTCTATGGAACACATGGTTGCAATTACAAAACTATCTAATTTCCCCATCTTCATCTTCACTGGCTCCCAGCAGAAAATTGCGATAATTCAAAACTAAAACTCTTTTCTTAATGGCTACTGTACTATATGAACGGGGATTTGGACTAGAGATGGAGATAATCCTTCTAAGAATATAATTATTTGGATTTGTCGATGATGGCAATCTCTTCAACCGACGTCGATTTGTACAAACCAAGACGAATGATGGCCCCAATTATTAAGAATCTCACTTGGCTTAATATGTTGAACAAGTATGGTTAAAGCCTTCTGTAGTCTTATGATATTATATTGTATCCCATCACTCAATTTTCGAATAGTGGCATTAAGGAAGGCAAGTACGATTGTGGTGGTGGAGAAGGGGAAAGAAGTGCTTTGTTTTTTCCCTTTCTTTTTCTTTCTATGAAGAAATTATTAAAGCAAATAGGCAAGCAGCCTGCACAGTCGTTTTAATAAATAAATAAATAATTCTAAATATTAGTATGTACAGATCGGTGCCTCTAGGCGCACAAAAAGGTTTTTACAATCTGACATGGCAAGAAATTTAAAAAAAAAAAAGGATAAAAAATGTTTGAATGGAAACCGGGCAACCCTTGGCTTCTTACATTTCTCCCCCAATTTCAAAACCCTTCCCAACTCTCCATTACCGTGTTCACCTTCCTCCATTAAAGACGGGGAGACTACACCGTCAAAATCATCTCCAGCTCCGACCATCTTCAAAATAGGTGAAGAAGAAGAAGAGTCCACTGTGAAACCGAAGATTTGTGAATATCTAAAATGTTCGAACGTTGCCGATCTTTGGTCATAGGATGAAATCTCTATGACAGCCATGAAGTCACCGAACTCAAACGAAGCAAAATTGCAGAAAATCTTTTGTCAAAATAATGGAAGAAATTAAAATGGTAGTTTTTGTTTCTGTAATTAAAAGTTGAAGAAGAAACGGGATTGGTTAAAGAAATCAAATATGCTGTAGAAGTGTAATTTGATGGATTGACATATTCAAATTCGAAGAAGAAAAGAGAATAACAGATGCAACCCAGGTTTATTGTTGTCGAATTCAAACATGTTGTGGAACTGATTTCAATCTGATTTCTTTGAGCACTCTTTTAAATGGTTATTCTATATATATTTCATTTGGCCGAAGGTGCAGCATCAATTATCTTGCCGTTGACAAAGAGGGAATGGAATGGGAATACACCTGAGAAAATAAATCAGTTTTACTTATCAGTTTCTCCAATACAGTAAAAAAGAATTTTTTCCTTCCATCTGCTAAAATAGTGAAATCTTCCAAAATTATCAAAGGTTCAACAAAGAAACAATACTCACAGTCGACACTGGAAATTGGTAAGTGTAAATACGTATTTTTAATTTTGTTTTAGGTTTGAATCTTTAAATCATTTTTTGACAAAGGCAGATGAATTTTACAGTATTTAAACACAGATTTATAATTTTTTTATAGCAAAAACAACAAAAAAATTCATCTCTGTATGCATATATTTTACAGAAAAAATTTATAAGTGTCTGTAAAATAAATATTTAAACATTATTTCGTTGAAAAAAGGAAAAAAATAAAAAATTCGAGCGTAAATTTCAGATGAAACGGACGAAAAAAATTGGGCAAAATGTTTCCAGCCGGCCCAGTTGTCCTGGCCGGCTGGAAACATCCGGCCCAGCCATTTTTTTTCCCTCCCCTCCCCTTTCAGATTTTAGAATTTATTTGTTCATTAATATATGTTTATTGAAATAAATATTAATGAATATTTAAATACTAATTGAAATAAATATTTTTGAAACAATTAAAATAATCAATGAATTATTTAAAGTATTAAATTAAATTAAATATGAAATGAACAATTTAAAAAATTATATATTAATTCCTTATTTTTAATTTGTGGCAGTTATGGCATTAGCATGTGTCCCAATTTGTTACTTTGGTGAATTTCAAATGAATGAAAATACTCAATGGGAATGGAAATGGACGAGTGAAGGAGATGGGGTTAAAGCAATTTTTATAACAAGGAGTACATCGTTCGCAGAAATGTACAGTGATATACAAAACATGCTTAACGTCGATCCCTCTCAGTACGATATGGAATTGGGATTTTTGTTTCATAAGCATTCAACAATTTCAATTCCACCTATGAAAGTTACTTCTGAAGTGGAAATGAAACATCTAATTAAATTGAACCAAGGTCGGAAGTCGACTCCTATTTGCGTAACTTTATTGGGGAAGAATGTCCACGAGGGTGAACACGAAGTTTCAAATGAAGAGAATCGTAATGTAAATGATGTTTGGAATACAATTCAGATTGTTCGTGAAGATGATGTGGTTATTCCCGAGACCACTGCTGCTCACCATGATCACACTATTACGTACAGAATTTCATCGATAGTTGAAGACAACGAGAATGAAAATGTATTTACAAACGAGGATTTGATTGCTTTATCTCGTAGGAGACATGAGTCGGGTGGGAGCTCACAGGCCGGACCGAGTACACGGTCCTCTAATTGTTCGCGTGTAGTTCCCGATGATGAAGATGTATATGTCAAGCAACAATTCGAATCAAAGAAAGAATTGCAAGAAGCTGTGCACCGGATTGCTTTAAAACATAACTTCGAGTTTAAAATGAAGAAATCAAACAAGTCGACGTACACAATTATCTGCGTTGACGACAGTTGCCATTGGCGTTTGCGAGCGACTAAGATGGACACGAATGAGTTCTTTGTAGTCCGTAAGTATGCACGGGAACATACTTGCGAAGTGGGTATTCGTCGAAATGATCATAGGCAGGCCCGATCATGGTTCATTGGTCGAGAAATAATGCACAAGTTTCAGGATCCACGAACGATCTACAGACCTTCGGACATCATTAATGATGTTCGACGAGAGTACGGGATGGTCATGAGCTATCAGAAAGTTTGGAAGGCTAAAGAATGTGCATTGGAGGATTTGATGGGTTCGACTAAGGAGAGTTATGCTAAATTAGTCAGATATTTCATTGTTTAAGTGTTTATTTCTTTGTTATTTTAAATTTTAATTATCTAATTTCAATTGTTTATTTATATGTAATTAATTATTTAATTGAATTGTTTATTTTTCTGTTCATTTAATATTTAATATATTATCTAAATTATGATTATTTTTATTTACATTGGTCAGGTATTGCTATAACATGGGAAGAATTAATACTGGGTCGGCATTTTTTATTAAGAAGGATGACGAAAATCGCTTCAAATATTTCTTTATGGCCCTTGGACAATGTGTTCGAGAATTTCGAAATGCAATGCGACCCCTAATCTTAGTCGACGGTACAACCCTTAAGACGAGATATGGGGGCAAGTTGATTATTGCAACATGCCAAGATGCGAACATCCAAATTTATCCTCTTGCGTTCGGTATAGTCGACGGAGAAAATGATGTAGCAATGAGTTGGTTTTTCATGAAGTTGAGGGAAGTAATTGGAGATGTAGAAAATCTTGCATTCGTAACCGATCGAGGGCAGTCAATAATAAATGGTATCGTCGAAATCTTCCCCGAGGCACATCATGGTTATTGTATATACCATATACAGGGAAACTTGAAGACCAGGTATCGAGGCAATGGCGTCGTTGCGTTGTTTAGGAGAGCTGCAGAGGCTTACAGTTTTGAAAAGTTTGATAAGTTCATGGTCGAAATAGACAGTAAATCGCATGCTGCATGGGAGTATCTAACAGAGATGGGGATTGAACATTGGGCACGATCACATTTTCCAGGACGTCGATACAACATGATGACGTCGAACAATGCGAAGTCGCTTAACGCTTTAATCAAGAAAAATCGAGAGTTACCAATTCTCGCAATGATTGAGAACATTCGTGACAAGCTACAACAGTGATTTCATGATCGACGTGAGGAATCACAGAGTTGTGCAAGTGTGCTAACCCCGGCTCAAGAAGATAAACTCTTCAAGACTCTAGATGTGGCAAGAAAGGTATATGTAGAGCCACTGGATCAATTTCGCTTCTCCGTGAGATGTGCACATAATTTCGGATACATTGTGGACTTGAATGATAACACGTACACGTGTAGACGGTTTCAGTTGGAGAGTTTTCCGTGTACACATGCAGTGGCAGTGGCTATGCATAGAGGATTACCAACACACACCTTATGCAGTGTGTATTACATGACTGATTATTGGAGAGCAGCATATGCGGAAACAATATTTCCTGTACCAAATGAAGTCAAGTGGGAAGTGCCCGACCACATTCTCCCACTGAATAACTTGTTGCCACCAGCAGTTGGACCACGTACTCCTGGACGTACACGTACGTCTAAAATACCATCTACCGGAGAGTTTCCCCAGCCTCGTAAGTGCGGTAGATGCGGTGCAACAGGGCATACTAGAAGATATTGTACAAGTCAGATTCCTCTACATGACAATGTAACGGATGTGTAATTTTAATAACTATGGGCAATGTAATTATTTATAACATTGACGTTAATTATTTATCCATATTATTTATGTGAATTATTAGATTTAGTATTTTTTTTCAAACATTTCATTCATTACATTCATTTGTTATGCATATTATTTATGTTAATTATTTGAAATCGAAACTTTTTCTAGACACTGCATTATACGGTAGGCTGCATTGTAAAATAAATATATAAATATTACATAAATAATCAACATTTTACAATTTTTCCGTAATTACAAATAAATGAATGAACTGTACAATGTTTAAATAAATGTAAAAATATGTACAATTATTTACGGATCCCCATTAAATTCAAATAAATCATATGCTAGTTTATTTCTCCAATTTTGTATCCATGCCTGGTTGATTGCATCAACCTTATGTGCCACACTCAAAAATTCTATGTACTTGATGACGAACATGCCGTAATCACCCCTACAATTAAACAATGTTGTATTAGCACATCGAAAATTAGTTAGAACCTAAGATATAAATGAAAAAAAGAAAATTATAAACACTTACGATATTTGCTGCCTCGTCGTCGTCGTGTTCTGCACGGTGGCCAATCTGTCTTGTACAGTGATGTTCGCTTGTCTAGCCATCATGGGAACGATCACAGACACCGACTCTAGATTTTGCTCGAGCTGGCCTTGTGTCAGGCATGAATGATCGGGGTCGTACACATACATCGTGGAGTCGGCGAATACGATTTCCACTGCAATGTAGTGATGATTCACACATACTGGTACGTACATATGCGTACAACCATCCCATGGCTTCCCACCGACACTCGGCCACATCCCTACGACCCATTCCATCATATATTCTGGCACCGTGTACTCGCTACCCATAGCCTGAAACGACTAGTACTCAATGTCAACGGCACGGATGAACTCGGTGTTCAATATGAGTCTGCCAGGAATGTTGAACGATTTTGGATGTCTTTCAGCACGATCTTGTAGCAAATCCATACTCAAGTCGATGTGCTACATCAAGAAACACCAATAAAGAAAGGAGTTAATCTATGAATTTCATTCAAAAAATTAATTTTGAACATACATAATAAATAACAATATTTTCATTTCACTTACATCGTCGGCGAGCCAAGCCCCCGCAGTGGTGATGTCGTGGAACCACTTGTAAGCATTTGAGATCGTTTTCTCAGCAATCGTGCGGCTGGCCCTGAAAAAATTAAGAACAGAATTTTTAGTTATATGAAGTATCAGCGTCTGCGTCTGCGTACTATAGTAATTACATAAAATACAAAACTTACCCAGGCTGCAGTGCTCTTCACTCTATCTCAAAGGCTTTCCACTTGGCGTGGTCCACCTCCCTGAATAAATTCGGGTGCGTCCCGTCGACGAACCTTCTCCTCTTCGCCTCCGCGGTAAAGGGAGAAAGAACGTACTGTGATGGCACCCTTGGCCTCTTGTCGACCACCCACTCCACCACGTCAACAGTCATCGTCCTCTCCTCATGCGTCTCGGGAATCTCCATCTCCCCAGCCATTTGGACGACCCCCTCGCCCGCTATCGGGACCACCTCCTCCGACACAAAGATCACGGCCGGCGAGTCTGGCGTCTTCTCGGGTACCATCTCCACCTCCGGTACCCTCTCCTCCTCCGGTGCCCCCTCGACATCCCCGGGTATCCCGTGCACGGGTACCACCTCCAGCTCCAGTACCCTATCCTCCTCTGGTGCCCCCTCGGCATCCCCGGGTATCCCCTACACGGGTACCACCTCCACCTCCACCTCTGATGCCCCCTCGACGTCCTCGGGTATCCCCTGCACGGGCACCCCCACCTCCTCGGGTATCCCCTCTGCATCGGGTGCCGTCATCTCGGGTACCACCTCCACCTCCATCTCCGATACCCTCTCCTCCTCGGGTACCCCCTCCACGTCCTCAGGTATATCCTGCACGGACACCCCCTCCACCACAGGTATCCTCTCACGCTCCTTCATCCCCATCGTGTCATCTAAAAATGAATCAAATGCAGCAACTGATGGCCACGATGAGTCAACATACCCCATCTGACCCCCTCCCCCCTGATAACCACCGACCCCTCTGTTACCCCCTCCGTCCCGATAACCGCCAGTCCCTCCGTCTCGATAGCCACCAGTCCCTCCGTCAGCCCCTCCGTCCCGATAGTGACATGTCCCTCCGCTACCTCCTCCATCTCGATAATCGCTCGTCCCACGTAGGCCTGCTATGTCACCCCGTATCGCTGCAACCTCTGCATGGAGGTCTCCTAACCCAGCTCGTAACATCGCGACATCATATCGTAACTGTGCCATGTCCCCGAACTCAGCTCGTAGTGTCACGACATTATCCCGTAACTCTGCCATGTCTCCTCTCATCTCCATCAGGAGTTCGAACAAATCAATCGTCGAAGCACGGGGATTAGGTGCAGGAGGCGATACTGGACGGCCCTCCTGAAAAAATAACTATTACAAATGAATAACCTAACAAATAAAATAAAATGACAATCAAAGAATTATTTTTAAGTAACATACTCTATCTCAATCAACGCTGGACTCAGGCATCTGAACCTCCGGCGTAGCTGGATGTGATCTTCTCAGCGGAGGTGACATCCTCGCTAGACGTGCTCTCCTTGGTGGAGGTGATATCCTCAACGGAGGTAGTACTGAACGATCCTTCTGAAAAAATAAATATTACAAGTGAAGCAGTTAATTATAAGATCGAAGCGATATTCAACAAATCCTGCACAGTGACATACCCTATCTCGATCCATCCTGGACTCAGGCATCTGATCGTCATGCGCAGTACGAAGAGACAATTCGCGAATATAAAACTGACTCTCCTCCTCGATCGACGGTGCCAATTCAGTGAGAACTTCAAGCTGTCATTTTGATATGTCACAGTTAATGACTATCTATTCAGATTGTAAAAGGACGTACAACATAAATAGCAATTGTATAATACGTACCTCAGGATCGTCGAGGAGAGCCGATAACTGTCTGGCAAGCGGCTTGTCTTGTGCTCGCCAGTGATGCATCCGAGGATAGCATGTCTCTCCTCTCCTCGCATACCGACTGGTCAAGATGGGGACAGTCTCGTACACCCATATCTGAAATAATTACAATTATTATGTATAGAATTCAATAAAAAAGTGTAGGTACATTAACTTAAACATATACCTGCAGCGCCAACGGCAGTCCATATACATCGTACTTGCGCTCGGGCTTATCCCCCTTTGGCATTGAAAACCCCCTCCTAAACACGCGTAATGTATCAAGAAAACATCTCCAACCCCATGGGTAGTTGTTGAAGGCATCAATATCATCAACAACCTCCAAATGAAAAATGTCAATCGATGTCTTCTTGTGATGACACCGGAGTATGCTCTCGATGATAAGCACCAATCCTAACTTCAACCTATCAGACATCCGATCACATCTCCTTAATGCATCTCCTAGCTGCACTAGAGTAACCGTCGTCTGTCCATGAAAATATTCGTTCAACAGCCTCTTGTTCCTCGGAACACAGGCCCTTGCCTCTGCATCGTCCGTACATCGCAATCCAGTAACGAGGGCAAACTCAAATATAGAGAACGTGGCTACCTTGCCCCCAAGATCAAAATGGAGGGCGTCTCCGTCAACTGGCTTCAGCAAGCGACATAACAGGGCATCCAGCAGTTGCCCAGACCACTGTACATCACGCAACGAATACAATGGCCATAAGCATGATCGACGTAATATATCTGCGTGATCGTCGTCCAGCAAATCTAATACCAAAGCGAAGCTGGTAAAGTTACAATTCGAGGTAACTTTACCAGGGATCTGTCTGACAACTTCGTCCAGATGATATTCCATCCTGCAAAATTTCAAATATTAGAACCTTATGCAAATGATGTTCGATAAACAAAAATATTAAAAAAATATACTAACACATACCAGATGCAATAACCAATCGATAACGGAATAAACAAAATGAACGTAAATTACTATTTTCCATATACTTAATTTGCTAATTTGATCGTTTATTTTAATATTTTAATTGCTTATTTTAATTATTTATCTAACACTAAATTAACTTTTTCATTTTTAATTAATGTTTAAACACTTATTTTAATTCTTTACGCATATCGCTTATTTCATATTTACAAATTTATTTTAATTGCTTCGTAAAAAATTAATGTAATTGACATTTTCATATCCTAATTTAATTGTTTATTTTTATTATTTCACAAATGTTTATATATTTATTTAAATTCTTTATGCATATTACTTATTTAACATGTAATTAATTATTTTAATTATTTTAATAACACTTATTTTGATCATTTATTTTAATATTTTAATTATTTTTCTAACACTTAATTTACTTTTTCATTTTTTATGAATGTTTAAATGCTTATTTTAATTATTTACGCATAATGCTTACTTCATATTTACAAATTTATTTTAATTGCTTTGCAAAATTTACATATTTATTTTAATTGCTTTGCAAAAACTTAATTTGATTAATATTTTAATTTTCAAATTTAATTGCGTATTTTGATAAATGTTTAAATATGTATTTAAATTATATATATATATATGTGTGTGTTATTTAATATTTAATTATTTTACTATCACTTATTTTGATATTTTAATTGCTTATTTTAATTTTTTTTTCTAACAGTTAATTTAGTTATTTTGGTTTTAATGAAGTTTTAAAACTTATTTTTAATTATTTACAAATGTTTAATTATTTAAATTCTTTATATATATCTTATTTAATATTTCATTTTTTAAAATTAATTTAGTAACACTTATTTTTAAATGCTTATTTTAATATTTTATTCTTTAGATATATTAATTATTTAATATTATATTATTTCTTTTAATTTTTTTACTATTACTTAATATAAAATAATTAATTAATCTAAATTAGCAACTAATAAATATTTCGATAAATAATATAACATTTACATCTTATATTTACTAATAATTTTAAATACATAATATACATTCAAATTAAGCAATTCAAATAAATAATTACATATTAGAGAACACAATATAAGTCATTAATAATTATTTAATTAACTTCAATAATTATCGAAAAAAAAAAACACAGCTCAAAATAACGCCCGGCCCAGTCAACTGGATCAATCGGGCCGACCGGCCCAGCTGCCCAGTTGACTGGGCTAAACCCAGTTGCCCAGTTGGGCACCAAGCGCCCAGTCAATTGGGTTGCCCAATTGACTAGGACAGGCGCCCAAACGCCCAGTTAACTGGGCCGTCTGGGCGTCTGGGCGCGCCTAAAACACAGCTCAAAATAACGCCCGGCCCAGTCAACTGGATCAATCGGGCCGACCGGCCCAGCTGCCCAGTTGACTGGGCTAAACCCAGTTGCCCAGTTGGGCACCAAGCGCCCAGTCAATTGGGTTGCCCAATTGACTAGGACAGGCGCCCAAACGCCCAGTTAACTGGGCCGTCTGGGCGTCTGGGCGCGCCTAGACGGCGTGCCCAGCTCTCTAGGCGCCATTTCCGGTCGAGGAGATCGCCGGAAAACTCCATTTTCGGCGATCTCCACTCCTTCCCAAGCAATAACAACCCAAATTCCACATTTACACAAGAATTTCTCAACAAATACATATAAAATCATACTTTATTCCAAGAATAAAAATATAAACAAGATTTTTTTTTTGTATAAATTTCTTACCTTCTTCAGAGTCAACTGGCCAACTGGGTCTCCTGTTTTTCCTTATTTGTCGATGGCTGGGTCGACTGTGCTACAGTACTTTCCTTCTCAGCTTCTGTGTTTTTTCCTTGCCAGTGAGGGGTAAAATTGGGTTTGTCCTCATTTTTTTTTGTTTTAACTGTTTTAAATAATTTTGCCTTTTTT